AAATCTGTAGTCACAGTGATGTGAAGCAAGGATCTTAACCTCTTCACTGGTGGGGAGTGATGCAGTATTTTTTATATATATTTCCATTTATTTATTACTTGTCTATTGAACTAATGTTAAGGATAGAACCACATATAATTTTTTATACTTGTAAACTTCAGCATACTGGTGACTTGTAGTTTCATTAAACCATCAAAGAACCTTTTTTCATCCTCTCTTTCCATATCACTTGCTTTTTATTAAAAACTAACTTTAAACATTTTCCAGTTTTAATCTTACTCATGGGATCTGCTGTGAATACCCATATTCTAATTCAGTATAATCTATTGAGAATATTGTAACACGATTGCATGCCTATAAACCACCCAGTAAGAGGGCTTCTAAAGTCACCATTGTTCAGAAGAAAAGGATTTTTGTGTTCATTTTATTAAAATCTACTTTACTGTGTAACCATTCCTACCAAAATCCTTTACGAAGCTCAGATCTCAACTCATTGCAGAGTTTAAGCATTTGAGTTACTTAAGTTGTTTAACACTAGTAATTCTTACATAGATTTGCAAAGAATGGAAACAGGCCACTCAACCCAACCAGTCTGTGCCAGTATTTATATGGCATATGAGTCTCCACCCATTCCTTTACTCCCTCCCATACCTTTCTATTCCCCTCTCTCTCATATGAAGATCTAGCTTCCTCTTGAATGCATCTAATAATAAGGATTATTATTGTTATCTATACTATCTGATTCAGCCGCTGTTCCACAATCTCAGTACCCTCTGTGTGAAGTAGTTCCGACTAATTTCTCTTTTTGATCCCATAGTCGCGATTTTATACAGTATTTGCGTGCCCTGGTTATGGACTCCTCAACCAGTGGAAACAGCCAAGTTATGTTAACCTTATCGAACCCTTTTAGAATTTTAAACACTTATATTAGGTGCCTCCTTAAACATCTCTTCTCTAGCGAAAAAGGTATCAAGTCTATCCTGATGGCAGTGACCCGTCACCCCTGGTATCAACCTCGTAAATCCACTCTGTATCCTTCCATCGCTGCTGTATCCTTCCTATAGTTTGGAGACCAGAACTGGACATACTACTCCAAATGTGGTCTAAGCAAAGTTTTGTTTAAATTCAACATCACCTCCTCACTTTTATATTATATTTCACTGGCATTTTTATAGCCTTATCTACCAATGTAGATACTTTTATGGATTTGTGGATCTGAATGCCCAGATCTTTTTGGTTCTCCTCTCCTTAGGTTCCTACTATCTAGACCAGGGATGGCCAACCTGCAGTCTGTGGGCCACATTATGGACCCTTCCCCTTCACTGTTTACCATTTGGCTTGGTCATAGATCTTGCATTGATGATAGAACAGACAGCATATTACAGTTTTAAATTTTAACACTTCTAAATGGAGTCACCAAATTTGGATACTTCACACTGAATTGTCAATGCTGTTTGCATGAGCAATATTAGTTGTCCTCCTGCAGAATATGGAGGTTATTATGTTTTTCCTACACTTAGTTCTCCTCCCCTCTTCTGAAGGCATTGACATCTTTTTGCTTCTACTGAAATATCATTCCACAGGTGCTAGGCAACCTCAGGTACATTCTCCTACTGGTAAGATTCATGCATGAGTAATTATTGGTAAGTTTTTTGACAATAGGAGGCATCACTTGCAACCCTGAACCTGTTCCCCACTATTGTCCACACACTCACACGACTCTCAGCAGGAACTCAAGCTGATTTTTCTCCTCCCTAACCAAGTGCACTAAGGCCATTTATAGCATTATAGCTGAGCTAAATTCAGCACTCACCTGATATTTGAACTGTCGTAACCTTCCCTATAACCTATGCAGTTTGTGGTGTCTTTTTACTCACTAAGTCAATCGAAAGCAATTGAATTTAAATGTGCAGTCATTTTTTCAGGCTATACTAAATGTAAGGATTATTAATATTTTCTGAAATTAGGTAAGCAGGGTGTCTCTCCATGAAGAGAGTGCACATTGCACACCATTCAAAGTTTGTCTGTAAATGTGGAACTGTCAAACTGGTTTGGATACTCATAAGCATTAAAATGTTTTTTCAGTATATCAGACAACTGGCTGAACAACAAGAAAGATAAAACTCTGCTGCTTTTTTCCAGCAGAATCAATTATTATATTTTTGTTACCAATTCTTAAACATTATAAATGGAGATAGCAGTCATTCTTGTGTTTCATGCTTTAGAACAGTTGTTTGGAAATGGCCAGGGAGCAGTCATTTTGTATATCATTCTCTGGGATGCTACATCATGAGTGGGCTGTGAGAAGTACATCCCATTGGTAATAAATGGTCCAGTGCCAAGTGGAAAGTTTTGAGATCCTCCTATAGTCAACAGGAAACCCACTACCAGTTACTGGCTATGAGATTGAAGCCCTATTAATAGTGCTTGATTTTCTTTGTAAGACATTTGAACATGTGAAAATTGTTCTTGTCAGCAGTTAAATGGTTTATTTTTTTCCTTGTATAAGCAGCAAATGAAAGCTTCAATCATATTCATTGTGTGACAGGAGATTAGCTGAAAAACCAAAGACGACAAACTTTCAAGAGGAAATAAGAATCTCATTCTGTTCGTTAACTATCCCTGGAGATAATTGAGGAAATGCTATATCTGCTGGAAACTATCCTTAATGACCAGTTGAGAACTAACCACCACCCTGTGTTAGGAGACTATTTTCTCAACTCCAGGCCTTTCAGAATGGAGACAGCCATAGTCTTTGTTTTTAATTTAGCAAGATCCGATTTGGCGCTTCTTTGCCAGATAAGGTGCTATATCAAATGCAAGGATTATTATTATTATGCCAGATACTGATCTAAAATTGATTTTCAAAATCAATTTTCAACTTAAGCTGTTCACATGCTATGAATGAAAATCTGTGTTGATTTGAAAAAAAATGTTAATTTGTGGCACTCTGCAAAAAGAAATGAAATTATTTTGCATTTATTGCGTAACTCTCTCATAGTTAATGGTTTAGAACAACTGATATTTTCCTCAAACAGGAGACTTACTCAACAGCCAATCTCTCCTCAGAGGTCATTCACACAAGAGTTTTTTTCCCCGACAAGCCACTTTTCTCTCCTCTGCCTTTCACCCCTGAAGATGACTTGTAGAGTGCAGTTCCATGGGTGCTGGCTATTCTCCAGTGACTATTCTTTAACTGTGAGCCTAGACAGTCAGTGTCAGCAACCAATTGTACTCAAACAATATGCATCCATTTGCACTTTCCAGCAAGCTGAATTCACCTCCCAAAATAGAGATAATGAGGTCATGTGTAGCATTCCTATTGCAGCCACAACAGGGATCAGCTAACTCGATATAGAACCTTGGATCTTTCTCATGAATATAATAATAATAATCCTTTCATTTGATATAGAATATACTGTAAAGTAAATTGACTGTATATTTTGTGGGCGAAATGCGGCAGCCAATTGTGCACAACAGTGATCAGAAACAGTCGTGAATTGAATGACCAAATTATTATTTTTTTTAAATTTGATTGGATTATTATCCCTGGAAAAGTGATCGGCCAATCAGCTAACAACTGGATTCTTACTTACTAGTAGTTAAAGTGAGGTGTGTGGAGTAAGGAAACCTCCCTCAAGTTTTGCCCTGCCTGGGAATCAAACCCAGGTTCTCTAGCATGCAAGATGAATGCTCTAAACACTGAGCTACAGGACTCCACATACAATTATTGAAGACAATTTATATTTCTATGGAGCTTTCAAGCTTTTAACATTGGGAAGATGTCTCTAAGCACTCTAACTCATATACTTACAGCTAGATATAGCTCAATGTGACACCTTTTGGTCCATTTAACCACTCAGTACTTACAAAACTACACTGTTGTTTATCAAAATCTATATTGGATCACACAAAAAATAATAATCTTCAGTTTACATTGTATAACTGGTAAACTCATTGTTAAATGTTGGATGCTTCCCTCCCCCCACCACCACCATGAATGAGAATTACACTTATGCCGTAGCATGAGAATTATGCCATAATATGCCACCCGTTCTACTCCGCCCCCAACCCCTACCACATACACACACACACACACAAACACACACAGAATTGACAGGTAATTGTTCCTGAGATCTTGGCAATGCTCTTGTGCAATTGGCAAACTATTCCCTTGTTTTCCGTCAGCCGCCAGTTTTTATAAACATACATCCTTGCCCTAACAGAACTTGTTATGTAGGGAATTTGGGACACAAGCACACAATCCTACCAATTTCTGGCAGTGTCCTTTAATACACTATCCATAATCCCCCTCCTTCCATTTCACTCTTCCTTTGCTGAAAACTCATGCTGGGGAACAATTCCATGGGCACCGACATGCCAGTTTTTATAAACATACCTCCTGAAAATTATTCTTTCCTTCTTGCCTAATGGCAGCGACTGATGCCAAGTTACAATATAATGAAGAATTACATAATGGGCAATACAGTATGACGGAGGAGCCTACCCAGTTAAACCCAAAGCCCGTCACTATGCCCATACACAGTAATCAGAAGCACAATCTAACTCCCCCCACTCCCCCATAGCTCCAAGACACTAAGTAATCCTATTGAGGCTGGTATGCTGTGTTGCTCAGTGTTGGTCAGTTGCCTCTTTCATGTCTCACAGGTGCGATTTGAAAATATAATCGATTTCCGTACTTTTTGACTAATTTATAAATATTTTAAAACAAAAGAGCTCCACTTAGAGTTAAATTTTTTCATTCTCCAGTTCCATTAATATCATTGAAAAAATATTATTTTCTACTGTTAAAATGATGTAACCAACACACACACAATGCACACACACACACTTACACAAAGAGCTTGTGTCAGGCAGGAGGTAACTTCGCTCTTGAAGCGATGTTTGTTTTCAAAACAATTGAATACTCTTATCTATGAAAATGCTATAAGCCTTGGTGGGTGTCAACAATAGCATATTGATCCAATTTTTTTTTGCAGATGGTATATTCCCTTGTTTGTCCTAATTTTCCTGATGATGTTTTGCTACCTTCGCATTATTTACGTCGCTAAACAAAGGGTAAGAATTTATTTCTGAAATATGTTGCCAGCTATTTTGCAGCTTGGTCAAAATTATTGTTGATAACTATTGTGACATTTTTGCTTGATAATTAATGGGTCAATAATGTAATTTTAATTACTTTTGTTGATACTTTAAAAACAATTAAGTTGTGCAGTTTCAACTTAATTAACCCTTCAGCTGCTCGTTGTGTGTTTACTCTGCACAAGTAATATAATAGTCTTCCAAAACGATTCTTTAAATTGTCAGTTGCCTCCATTTCATAATCATTTTATTTACTGAATCTAAAATTGTATTAATGTCATGAACATTAGGTAGTTAGCTCATTACCATATCAAGTAAACCTTTGCTTAAATCCTGAAGACGGGTTGATACTGGTTAAACGCAACCTTTTTTATTTTTTGGAAAAAACGTTGGCAGTTTACCTACTCATTGACCAATGGTAATTATGCAGAAGCTGTCAGTATGTCAGTGAATCTATCAATCATTCACCCTGATTGTATTATTATGTTCTGATTGCCACTTAAATCTTTTGTTGAAGTATTCTCATTTAATATGTACAAAATAATACCAGGTGAATTTTGACTGCCCCAGACTTCAAAATTAGATTTGTACTGGTATTTCAGTGTAAAAAGGTAGGATATCTGTGGAAAATTTAGGGTATTTTTTTTACATTCTCCATGAAGATTGTTTTAATAACAGTATGTATATATTTGAAGCATGACATCTAGTCTGTCCTATCTGGTACCATGAGCCAAAAGGCTTTCTTCAACCAAACCTTGTGATCTTTATATGTGACCATGCTCATCAGTGTCACATGTTACATTCTTCAAAATGCACTCTCTCCCAACTGCCCTCAACATTATATTACTCTACGCACAATTTTTCTGCAATGGAAGACAGCATTTTATCCTTTGTGGCACTGAAACCAATTGATGGCTGCTGAATAATGATTTTTTTTCTAATTGGTGGATAGCCACCGTCCTAATGGAAACGGGCACTCTGAAAGTTTCTGCCATCTACAAGATCAATAAACCCAACAGTGCCTGGCCTGGAGAGCTTGTGCGTTTTTCTGAAAGCCTCTTTGTAATAATTGATGTCTTGGGGTTGGATAAGCTGATGGCTCCTGCTGAGTCAGCACTCAGACATCCCACCCACAAGTGTCGTCTGCTGCATTTCTAAAAAAGCTTTGCGAGATCAGTGGCTCAACTGTGCCTGCTGTATTACTGCCCCCTTGCTGCTGTCAATGCAATCACTTCTTCTTGAATAATTAAACATTTAAGAACAAAGGATTTTTTTTTATTTTATAGTTTTACCATAGGCGACTTCTTTGTATAATGCAACAAAGTAACTAAGCCAGTTTGGTTTTAAAGTATAGAAATTAATTTTTTCCACCTGAAGCTTATTGCTTATTTTACTTTGATTGTAAATGTTTATTAATTGTTGCTTCTTATTGCCTTCAATATCCAACAGTCTAAATGTGAATCTACATTCATCCAGATGTTATGTGAAAATGTCTTCATGTTCTTCAAAGCTAAATTCTTATGAAGTGGTGGTTGCAATCAGAGGTATACCAGAGGCAGAAACCAGTGGGCAGTCATTATAAACCAATTTAAAATAAACTCGATTCCTTGGCATGTGTCTGAATTAATTTAGATCCTTGTAACTCTGCAATTCAGGTACTGAATTTAACGTTAGTAAAATTCTAGCAAACCACTGCTATTAATAATGAAAGATTCAAGGTGAATATTGAAATATTAGAAGCTGTTTTCTTCCGTCAAGGTCATGTTGTAGGAGATATAAGCGCAAAGCTTTTACCACAAGACCATCCATTAATGACAATTATTTCATGCATATTCTTTTTAAAATAGTTCTACTATTCTATTCATTTTACGAGCCTGTTTCTTTTCTACTTTTTAAAGCACGTGGTAGGTATTAGATACAATTGAAAACTGATAAACTATGTAGTTGAAGTGGTTCCAGTTTTAATTTCCCTACTTTAACTGAACTGTTGATTTCAATCTCAATACAATGAGGAGGTGCTGAGCAATGGACATTGTTAAATAATTGCCCCTTTTTAACCATCATAGTTTTTCAATTAGAGAAGCACTCAGGTTGTGTTATAATGTACATTTTTAAACCCTTGTGTATGAAGGTACATTTGGTGTACTGAACTTGAATTTTCTGGCTGCACATACTGTACATGTGATCTCTTGTTTTTCTCAAGAAATTTTCAAAGATTCCTTCACAGTGTTTCTCTCATTTCTTTCATGCAGGTTTTAACTTGGTCTGGCACATATGACCCTGAGAGAGAACGAAGCAAGGTAGAGTTCAATTCTTGACTTATGGTCATGCGAATTTCGTGAATCAAAGTATTGATAATTTATATCTTGATTTCCTTCTCCCTGGTTATTTTAGGGTAGTCTGATAGAAACAATTAAAGAAATAGGAGTCCTGTAGCTCAGTGGTTAGAGCACTCGCTTTGCAAGCGAAACACCTGGGTTCAATTCCAGGCAGGGCGAAACCTTGGGCAAGTTTCCTTACTCCACATGCCTAATAATAATCCCTCCAAAACAAAACAATAATAAATTGGTCATTTTCAATCCATGACTGTTTGTGGGACACTGCTGTGTGCAACTGGCTGCCATGTTCGCCCACAAATATAGTCAATTTACTTTACAGTATATTCTGTGAAGCGCTTTGGGACGTCTAGAAGACGTGAAAAGCGCTATATCAAATGCAAAGATTATTATTATTATAAATAGTCAGTAGCATTTGGATTCTGAACAGTTTCATCATCAAATGCACCTTAAAAAGAAGACTTCCTTCAGACTAGAGAACATGTACATTGTGGCAATTTATTAAACACCTGTAGTCTGGTGAATATTGTAAAGTAGATTAAGAAGCATCATGGCCTAGATTTAATTTGCCTACGTAAATGAGATGATATCAGTCTCACTGTAGGGGGAGTTACTGAGGGATGGAAATGTGGCTCTTCGTGGGGGATGGGAAATTACAGTGTGAGTCATCCCTCACCAATTTAGTATTAACGGATATGGAGTTTGCCCGCCCAATTTGTGATTGTGTGTTGCATTGCTCAGGAGATCTGGAGCTGCAACATATACTGGAGCACCTTTTAGGGAGGGTTGTGTCTCAGTGGACTTAAACGAGGAAGAAGATTGCTTTAAAAATATCAGAATGCAGGTTCCATAAAATTCAGATTATAATTTCAGATTTTATTGATGCTTTCTTGCAGTGACACTCAAACGTTTATACACTACGTGTCATTTTGAATTTTAAGAAATCGGTCCTAAAACTGTTATGAAGGTGTGACCTAATGGTGTTTCTGTAAATTGTGAACTTTGATTTTAGCAGCCATTTGATTGTTTAGGTAGTTTTATAATCATTAATAGTTTGTGTACTTTAAACAGGACCTGGAACCTTTTTTCTCATCCTTCACATGAGAATATACAAAACCTCATCCTATTCATCCCACGCCCCCACCCCCAAGTTTAAAAGTGCCATTTGCCAGCATATATGTAAATGTAATACTTTAACACTGTTAATTTTCTACTTTGTGTATCGATTATGCATAGACTCTGGTTCTGCTCCAAATCCTTTTTTGAAAATTCAAGCATCACAAGTTTACTCACACTTTTTCCAAATAACCAAAGGCGCTTATTTTACTTCCAATAGTCATGAGTAGCTTAAACAATATAAGTATTGGACCCTTTATATCTTCTTTCATGTGAGCAAGTTCTTCATTGTAAACCAATATTTTGACTATTTCCTGATGACTGATTGTCTTAAACAAAGTAAGTCTGAATGCTTCCTGTGATGTGCGGATCACTCCTGATTTCTAGCCATCTGTTTCACACAAAGGTGCCAATACAACTGCAATCTGTGGAATGATCACATGTAAACAGACGGTTAAGGAATAGGGCTCCTTATTAACACTTTGCAGCTAGGGCGGTTCCAAATGTTGAGTTTAAATGTGCGTCTGTATGTACTGATAATTAAAACTCAGTTTATAGTATATTTCTACAGCACTAGTAGGTGAATACTGCCCCTCTCTGGTTGCAGGTAATACTACAAAAATGTGTTGCTAACAAATCCAGCATCCCATTTTCATAAATAAATCCCTGAAGAATGTAAGATAATCCTACTCACTGTGGATTTTCACTATAAACGGATTTTCAGGGCAGTTATTCTTATGAGGGGACCATACTTTGGATAACATGAAGATTAGATAATATTTTGAAAGGAGTTAACAACAGAATCCATTGCATATTTACTAGTTCCCTATTTTTAACAATCATAAAGGTGCCTTGTGGAAAGTATGAAATGCTTTATACTGCCACAATACATTTTTAAAGACATGGGGTAGAATGTAACCTTTTGTTAGTATTGTAAGCAAAGCAAATTGTAGGTACCACCAAGACCTGTGTACCCTAGTGCAGGTTGACTTTTGTGCACAGATAAAAACTGATCTGAATTTTGACAAGATACGACTTGTTTGCAGGGTGACAAAGATGTTCATTTCAGATTTATAAAATAGTTTTTTTTTAAAAAAAGGTTGTTCAATCTCAATAGACTGACAGACTTCGAAAACTGCAATGATTGTAGAATTAAAACACTCAAAGGAAAGGCTCTGTGTTTTTCTTATGCTCGAAAACCATTGCGCAGTCGTAGCATGACTCCAACTCATTGCAGTTACTCACATTAATAATTAATCTAATGATAGTTGGGATTAATTTACCAGAAGGCAGATGCTTGGTGGCCTGTAGATGCAATTAGTACCAGAACACAACTACAGATCTACTTTTTTTTATTAACAAAAGATTTTCTGTTGAGTGTGCACCATTAAAATAACCTTTCTGACAAGTAATTTAAAACTGATAAAACTGAATCCGTGGTTAGAATTTTTTTGTGTTTTTTTTATATAGATCCTGTTAACCCTGGAAATAAAGCCACTTAAATGGTACCCATCTGTGTACCTGGCTGTATCCCTCTTTCCTCTCATTAACAGGTGAGTAAACATCCGATTCTTCCTTCTGGTGCTTAATAAGGGCTGCAGTAATTATATATTACCATCGCCAGGAAGCCTGACTCGTGCATGATTACTGTCAGATTAAAGATGAATTATGTCCATTTGGGGGTGGGGGGATACGGATCTGATCTTATTGATTTAACAAAATTCCATGTATTACAGTGAAACTTTGTTGTTATTAGACTCCTTGTTGCAAATTGTGCAGGATCGATAATCATAAAGGTTTGCTCCAGACATCTTTCAGTGTAAATCGTCAGCAACCAATGTGATCAGATAATGAAACCATAGCTGAATTGTTCTTAAATATAGCAGCCTTCTTGTAGAGTACTTATAGTGCAATTTCTGTGTCAATGTGACGACCACATTGAGTCGACACAGCTTGTTTGAAATTGCTGATTTTTACGTGAGAACTGAATTGCGGCAAACCAGGTGAAACCACTTTGAGGAGGAAGTCATATATTGCATGTATTTAGCAGTGGTCGCTGCAAAAAGAGTAAAACTACAATACTTGGATTTGATATTAGTGCCTTTTTCAATACATTTGAAAAGCGCTTTACAGAATGAGTTACTCTGAAGTGAATCTGCTGCAGCAACGGCCCACAATCAAAGATGAATTAGATGAATGATCAGTTCATCTTTTTGGGGGGCATGGGGGAATTTGGATGGTTAAAAATATTGGCTGCAGCACTGCAAGAACTCATTTCTCTGTTGTGATTCTTTCAAAAGCAAATTAGATTTATTTTGAAAATAATGTCTTGGGATGCAATATATAGTTTGCGAAATGACATGTGCATGCGACTGCCTGGATGGTGGAAGACAAACTGGAAGGACCTTGGTTTTCTTTTTTCTAGCAATTCTTATGTTCTAATGTTGTTCTAAAGAATACCATGATCTCTTTAACATCCAGTTAAACCATCGGGACAGGTAGGCAGCACCTTGGTTTAATTTTTCATCTGAACCAATTGCATTAAAAAGCGAAGATTTTAAAATTTAAAAAGATACTGGTGGTTTGCTGGACCATCTTTACATTTTTGAAGAATCAATGGGACCATTGGCTCTTCGATATTCTTTAAAATGTCACTTGGATTGCTTGTGTTTCTAAGTTACACAGTATTGCCGAGCCGGAAGTACATCTTGATTTCAAATCGGTAGCTGGAGCATTAAATTGCTGCAGATGCTCATTACAAAAAAATTCAGTATTCTGATGAATATCTTTCGTGATGAATCTACGTTCTGTTGTAAACCCCTGATTTTGTCAGGAATATTTGTTTTGCAAAATGTACCTCATGTCAGCAAACAATACAGCTGAATTCAGGTTCATTTAAAATCTATGTAAGATGAGTAAGGAGGTTTGTTGTTTGTGCCCACATTCTGTCACATATTCCCCCTTTCTCATGCAAGTTCTCTCCTTTACGGGAGGACGTCCAGCGCCTTTGGATGTCATCCCGATGTGAAAGGCGCTATACAAATGTAATTTTGTTTTTTTGCACCCACTCATTCTCTACCATCCTGCCTGCTCTCTCCACTCAGCGACTCCGGCCTGCTTCACTTCCCCTGCCACACCCGCCCCACCATTGGCGGGCAGGCTTTCTGCCACTCTGCCCCCACTCTCTGGAACTCCATCCCGCAGTCCCTCCGCCTCGCCCCCTCCCTTGCCACTTTCAGGACCCATCTCAAGACCCTCCACTTCGACTGTGCTTTTGATCACTCTCCTTCCCCACTGCCCTCCACCCTCCCCAATCCCGACCTCCAGCTCAGGTCCGAAATACTGACTGTCCAGCGGATTGGGACGTCCTCGTGACGTAAAAGGCGCTATACAAATGTAATTTTGTTTTTGTTATTGTTGTTGTTCTATCTTTTTCGATCACTCTCTCACTCCTGTTCAGAACCCCTCTCTTATTTTTGTTTGCACTTTAGTATTCATTCTCTCTTTGCTTGCTGCCTAATGTTCACTCACTCTGTCCTGTTTGCTTGCTCTCCCTCTAACATTCACACTGTCTCTAATACACACTTTCTCTTGTTAACCATTATATCCTCACTATCTGTCTCTGTAATGTTTGCACTCTTGCTCCCCTATTTGCTCTCTCCTTTTCGCTCTCTCCGTTTTGTTCTCTTCCTTTTGTAGTTTGTGTTCACTTTTTCCCTTCTTGCTGTGATTTGTTCTCTCTCTGACTCTTTCTGTCCCTGTGCTTTCTCTTTAACATTTGGTGGTCCCACAATTTACATTCTCCTTCCTCCCTGTCTTGAGCCTCTGACATAACCCTACTGTGAGTTGAATTTCCACCTATGGATTAGGACACATTTGATTTACTAAATATCCAAATATTGCACTAGTTCAGATACAGACTTCAAACTTGGTGCTTAATCATTCTATGATCTGTGCTATAGAAATGTGTGGAGATATTCATATAGGCATTTACTTTAATTGAGCAACATCATGCTTATGTACATTTAGGTTTTTGAAGTTCCATAAATACATATGGTCTGAATAGGTCAGTTAAAAAAGAAACAATAAATATTATTAATACAAAATGTTTTTGAGAACTTCAAATTAAAATCACCTGTAATTCCCTCTGTACACATTTACTTGTGTGTTTACACGTGGTTCACACATGGTGCATGATCGACCCCACTATGTTTTGTGTGTATCTCTCCCACTTAAACTATAATAATCCTTGAATTTTGGTTTAGCACCTTATCGCACAATCAACACATCTCTCGTTTGAGTTCTGACGAAGGGTCATGGACCCGAAACGTTGACTCACTTTCCTTTCTCCATAGATGCTGCCTGACCTGCTGAGTGTTCCCAGCGACTTCTGTTTTTGTAACACATTCTCTAAGCGCTTCACAGGATTTACTGTGAAGTAGAGTGACTGTTTGTAGGGGAACCAGCATTCCAATTGCACATACCTACAAACAGCCATGAAATGACTGACAAATTTTATTTAAGGAATTCTTGACCAGGATACAAGGAGAAACTCCCTCATATTTCCAAGTAATGCATGGGATATTTAACATTCAGTTGAACAGACGGAACGTCTCATTCAAAGGACAGCACCTCTAATAATGCATTTGGAGTGTTGGCATACTCTTTGAGTTCAAAGTCACGACATGGAACGAGTGAAAACTTGGAAAATGTGTAGGAAACTGCTCAGTGAGTAAATGCACTGCCCAGGGTCACACTGAACTGTACTGACCTGAAACTTCCCAGGTTCAATATTTACCTGTTGATCTGAACTGTGTTATTCATGGGAACACTACATCAGTCATAATCTTGACTACAGAGGGCACAAATTACCGTTCTTTGTGAACATAGAATGACCCTGATGGATTCTCTGGGTGTGTGTGGTAAGACACATGATTAGCTTCAGCTTCACACATGTCACATAGCACTTCCTAGGTTTCACTCTTCAGTATCAAATGGGCATCAATGGACGTGGAACCATATCCCAATACAGTCATGTATTTGTGAGAGGAGGAGAAAAGAGCATCAACAACTTGCAGTTATACAGCGCCCTTCACACAGAGTTGTGTCCCGGAGTGCTTGACAGTGGCGGAATCTGAAGCCGAGTCAGGGGGAGAGCAAGGGGGAGGTGACCGCAAACGCGATCAAAAAAGAAGGTCTTTAGCAAGGTTTGAAGGTGGGGAGGGAGGGGGTAAGACGGAGGGATGGAGGGAGAGTGTTCCAGAGTTTTCGGGATGTCGTGGCTGAAGGCATGGCCACCGATAGTGGAGCGGAGGGGATGAGGACAAACAGGAGGCCGGAGCCTACCGAGCGGAGGCGCTGGGTGGTGGATTAGGGGCTAAGCAGATCAGATAGGTAGGGAGGTGCCAGGGCATGAAGGGATTCGAAACTGAGTGGGTAAATGCTGGAGAGGATACAACAAAACAGCCATTGTGGCTTTACTAAGCATAAGCATATATGTGGTATTGGCAGATTACCTGTTTGACTAGTCATTTAGGATGGAATGCCTGCATGCAAATTGCAACCAGTCAGTCTGAAAACAATCTGTTAACATACAAGGTATAAACAAAATAACTACCAGTGATAACATCAGCATGAAGCACTCTTAAGTCAAATATGTCACACTTGGATGCATAGAAAAAGCTCCCTGCACTTTGCCCCAACAAAGTGACTTACGCTCATCATCTGAAGAGCACAATCAAAATGCACAAATGAGACATTTTCCATTTCTCACACCAGCTCATCTACTACAACAATAACAACGTGCACTTATATAGTGCTCTCCACACAGGGTAGCGTCTCAGAGCACTTAGCAGTGGTGGAGCCTGACTCCGAGCTGGGGGGGGGGTGGGTGAGGTGGCCGTAAGCACGGCCGAAGAGGAAGGTTTTCAGGCAGGACTTGAAATAGGGAAGAGAGGGCGAAAGGCGGAGGGATTGAAGGAGAGTGTTCCAGAGTTTCAAGGCGTAGTGGCTGAAAGTGCGACCTCCAATGGCGGGGCGGAGGGTGCGAGGAATGACACAGGAGGCTGGTGGCAGTCAAGCGGAAGCACCGGGTGATGGATTGGGGAGTGAGAAGATCGGAGAGGTAGGGAAGTGCCAGAGAGTGAAGGAATCTAGAGTCCTCTCTGTGTAATTTTGACAGTTTGGTGCAATATTTTTTCCCCACTGATAACAAGTTTGGCCAAACTACTTTCACATCAGATTCTTACAGCCAACAGATAGAGAATAGGTTTGACCTCTCAGGCTGGGCTGAATTCAGACCTGGGGCTCAGGGGTGAAAGGCCAATGCCCTTATTCTCCTGCATCCTCCAGTAGCCTCTACAGCCCAATTCAAATGACACATTTATATGCAGAGCAAAGGGAGGTCAAATGACCAATGTTTGACTATCTTTCGGGGGTGGGGGGGGATAGTGAGAGGGGTTTGGTAGGTGGAGTAGATGGGGTTCGACTCCAACAGGACCTCAACTCACACTCTGGCATCCCTAAGCCTTGGCTCTTGCCAACCTGCACTTAA